GTTAGAAAAATGATAACTGTTGCCTACTGGAACAGGACTAAAGGGTGTTGATAAGGACTTGACTCTGAAAAGGATCCAGAAAGCTTGCACAAGTACAAAATGTAGCATCAAAGATGGTGTAAGAAAACTGTTTATCAAATAATATTTATCCTAATATTTGCCCTGCTGGTTGTTATTTAGAAAGACCTGTCTTGGCACATGGGTCCCTGCAGGGTCACCTACTCAGAATAGAACTGACCTGTCCAGTATGCACTTTCTGAGTAGGGAAGGTCATGAGATTTGGAGAGAGGTCTCTACAAGGGTGGTCCAAACAGAATTGCATCAAAGAGCATTTGGGATGTGAGATTACTGAGGTAATTGCTGAGGAGAATCCTACCATTACCAGTTTTCAAATGGTTTAGAATCGATCTTTTTATGTTTGGATTGTTGTAAAGTACCAGAAGTCCATGTGGAACCCCCTTCTTGCTTTTCACTTGTGAATGAAAAGGCCATGATTCCAATGGGCATTTGTTTAAAATGCAGAGTGAACCTCGATATTTATTTAATTTATTTTAATCCATTTTTATTTATGGCCACCCATCTTGCAAAAGCATTTCTGGGTCCTAACATAAAACTAAACCTCATTTAAAGACAACTAATAACCATAATAGCATCCATCTCATGGGCCCCATTAACCTCCCAAGCCTGGGGAAATGGCCATGTTTTTGAAGCTTTCTGAAATGCCAGCCGAGTCGGGGCCAGCTGGATCTTGGGTGGTGGTGGAGTGCTCCACAGAGTAGGACTACAAGTGCATGCTTTAGGAAGCTGTGATATTTCTGTAAACTTATGTTTTAAATTAGGGATAGATACTTCCTTGTAATTGTTGGACCTCCTATAAAGACTCTATTTCTGTGATGGAAAGCTGGAGTGCGAAACTTTTTTAAAAACATAATTATACAATGAAATTAAACCAATTAATGGAGGATCAAACTATCAAGGCAACTAGTCATTAGGGTCACAAGCTAGTTCCTGGGTCATGGTCTGTCTATCTCTGAGAAGCAATTCCAGGGGAACAACTGTGGGAAAGGACAACTGAGAATAGGAGAATGTTAGAGCAGAACAACCCTTAATCGGACGAATTTGTGTTTTTCTCTGGTTTTGATACAGAAATAAGCTCGTAAATAAATCTGAGTTACTTTTCCCCTCACAGAATTGTTCGTGAATACACTGACAAGTTCAATCTCCGTCTAAGCCCATTCAGGCTGACTAATGAGAATGCCTGGTATTTCATTAGAAATGTCAGACACAAAATGGCACCTCACAATGCTGAAATCTTTGGGTACCAAGTTCACCCCAATGAGCGGGGAAAGTCTGCTGACAAGCTGTTTGAGGAGACGCTGGACAAGGTAGTTGTGAGGAGGAGGCTGGATGAACAAGAGAACAAATCACAAAATACAATTGAAATGAAAAAAAAAAGGAGAACAAATCGAATGCACTAGTATAGTTCTGGTTCGGATTATGTGAGTTGTAGTCTAACACCTGGGATGGGCAAAGGTGGGGAAGGCTGCTATAATACTTCCTGAAATAATGGGCCTAAAGCACTTTACATTACATGCAGAATATTACTTTAAATACAAACAATATTAAATACAAATAAAATGCTTACATTAAATACAAAAGAGCTACGTAGTTCAATCTAGTTCTGTCAAAGGGCACTTATACAAGAGCTCATCTATATTACACGTAATGCATAAAATTATAAATACTGTAAATTTAGGTGTTTTGTTATTCATGCCAAGAAAGTCTTTGATGAGGCTCAATAGTCCTGCTTTTTTCATACACTGGGGGACTTTAATATCGGAGAAAATATATACAATGAGTTGCAACACGTGTCCAAAGTCTACAGTTAGGAACTTCCAGCTAAGTTTGATTTACAAAAGCCTTTGAATGTTATGTATGGAGTCCTTATCCATATCTCATGTTTAATGTATAAAGGTGTGCTCTCCCTGAATGGATTAGATGTCTGTCATGTTATATAGTAAAATGAGTAAAATCCATATGTGTGGGGATTTATATGGCAAATACAAATAAAGAGAATGTTTTGTCGAAGGCTTTCACGGCTGGAATACGATGGCTGGTGTGGGTCTTCCGGGCTGTGTGGCCATGTTCTGGAAGTTTTGTTTCTCTGTGGCACAGAGAGAACTGCTCCTGTCTGTGCTCCTGCACTCTGAAGATGCCGGTCACAGGTGCTGGAGAAACGTTAGAAAACAAAACTTCCAGAACATGGCCACACAGCCTGGAAGACCCACACCAGCCAAAGAGAATGTTGTTAGATGATTATATAAGCCATATAAAGCTTCAGGCTTTATATGACT